AGGCTCACATCTGATTCACCAGTTGGAAACCTCTGGGCATGTTTTGAATAAAAATGTCTATAAACCTTTCCGGGTGATTCTTGGGCAGCGCAAAGCTTGGGGGCCTCTATTTAGCAGTCCCACATGGCCGTGCAATTTCTATGAAGTAGGGTGGGGGATATTTTATTTCAAGGGACTACAGAGAACTTTGTCCTTAGCTCGCTTTAGCTTACTGGAAGATTACAATTGATTTCTTTCTCTATAGGCTACTCTGTCTCTCTCTGTCTCTCTCATACACAAAGGACAAGAATTTATCTCTCGGTGGCAGGGTCTTAGTTTGTAGTAGGGACTGGCCTCGAACATCTCCTCATCTCACCCTTGCTAAGAGCTCTAAGTCATTTGAGTTTCTTCTTGGGATTCTAACTCTAGAAACCCTCTTTTATTTTTTTTGATAACTTGGACAGAAATGTATCTAAAGGAGTCTGATCTTACAAGTAGGTAGGGAAAAAGAAGTCCGAGCGTTTAACAGCTTGCCCAGACGGTCTGTGTGTTAGCTTTCAGTTTTATTTTGAGACAAGATCTCACTATGTGGCTTAGGAACTCGATATGTAGAACAGGTTGTCCTTGAAATCACAGAGATGTGCTTGCCTCTGCATCCTGACTGCAGGGGTTAAAGGTATACATCACCAGCCCAGGTCAGAGCTGGGACATGAATCCTGGTGAAACAGATGGCAAAGCCCGTGCTCCAACCGTTGTGAGACACAAGCCTTGAGGAAGAAAGAGTGGCAAGGTGACCTCAGTTCATAGCTCTTATTTGTGTTAGGGAAGCTTCAATCATAAGCATGCACGCACCAATGCCTTGACACCATCTGGAAACATTTGTATTATGAATATGTATTCCTCATGAATGATGACTTCTGGGTTGCTTGTTCAAAAAACTTGGGTGTGATGTCTTAGGGACAAACATCTCTTTTTTAAAAAAATATTTTTTTTAAGTGTGTGTGTGTGTGTGTTATATGTGTGTAGGTGCTAGTGGAGGCCAGAAGAAGGTGTTCGATGACCCTGGAACTGCAGTTAAAGGCAGTTGTGAGCTACCCAGAGTGGGTGCTGGGAACCAAACTCAGTTCCTGGTTAAGAGCAGGAGGCCATCTTCACCAGCGAGCTCTCTCCAGCTTTGGCAATCTGATGTTTGATCTGAATGTTCACCTCTGATTGGCAAGTAGACATGCTGTAGCCTTCAGGTGTGGGCATCATTTTCTCTTTTAGTGCGGATTTAAACAGTGGCTGTCAACATCTCAGTCAGATTTCCCACTTCTTTTAAAATGGGGTCAGCACCCTGAGGGATGGCTGCTCCCTTTCAAACGGCTCAGCACAGTCCCCATGTCTCTGTTGTTTCCTAACCTGGCTACCACATTCATGTACGTCTCTTGTCTGACCTTGGACATCTATGTCTTGGCTCTGGCTCATTACAAACCTCATGGCATTGTCACCCCCTCAGGGAATGCTGGGGTTGATCATAAAGCAGGGACAGCTTATCCCTGTCACTGGGTATACCGGGAAAGGAGGCAATGATGGACAGGGTAGTGAGAAGCTGTACTTCAGAACCCAGCACCAGGGGTTGGACCCAGCTCAGAGGGTAAAGAGCCTGCTGTGTAAGCATGATTTCAGATCTCCAGTGCCAACATAAGAGCCAGGTATGGCAGTGTACGTCAGTCACCCCTGTGCCAAGGGCAGAGACATCTGGGTTCAGAGAGAGACTCTGGGTCAAATGATAGGTGGTGAGGGATGAGGGACACGTCCTAGCATTGGCCTCTGACTGCCATGTGACCTGCAGAGGTGAACCTGCCTTTACACATATATGCATCTACGTGAAATATACACACATGCATGTACCTGCATGCACAGACATAGACACACACGTGCATGCACAGGTACAGACATGTGCACACACATGTACACAAACACACAGACGCACACATGAACACAGCACAAAGAGCTACAGCTAAATCCTATCTTCTGCCAACCATCTGTACCTCGGCATCCTTCCTCACAACACAGCAATACCTCTTGAACTCCTAGTGTTTCTATGGGAAAGTTCCAAGTGTTGTCTGCTGTATGACAGGATCGGCGCCAATGAGAGCTGCTATTACTGTGACCATTTAGTTCTAAGTCTGATCTGGGCGATGTGTGTTTTCACAAGTCCTCAGAAATGAAACCAAGCCTGGCTTCCTTCTCCCAGAACGCTGTCCTCTGAGCTTGGCTCATGGGTTCTTAGTCCTGAACTCTCCTTAGAGTCCTCTTAGCGCCTGCCTGAGGTCCTCTCCCGCCCCGTCTATAGCAAGAGTAGCAATAACTTTCAATAAGTGGTCTGCGTTCTCAGTGTGCTAAGAAGCAGCCGTCAGACTGCACACGTCCTCTCTCACCTGCTTAATGCCTACAATAGCTTCATGGGCTGTGAAGCACAGCTGGGGAAACTGAGGTCTGAGAAACTTAAACAATTGATTCGGGATGAGTGGTAAGTGAGGACCTAGGTCCAGGCAATCTGGTACCAAGCTTGTACTATTACCCATGCTTCACAGTCTATGACACACACAAGCACACGCACACCACACACACACACACCCCACAACCACATACACACACGCACACACACACGCACACACACACGCACACACACACGCACACACACACCCCACAACCACATACACACACACGCACACACACACGCACACACACACGCACACACACACACACACACGTTCTTTAAGAACGGAGCTCAGCATGTTCTCCTTTGTCCTCTAGTGTTCTCATCTTCCCCCCATTCCAGGCTGACATCATCAGATTTTAGAGACCTTGACGATGGTGTCAGTGTTGTCTGAACAGAAATCCCGAGCTCTCTCTGCCCTTTTAGCTCCCCTTTTCCTTTCTTTGACACTGCCCTCCGCTCCCCCTTGGGAGAGTTTCTGTTTGGACATGGGCTTCCACATGCGCCTGGTCCTCATTGCTTGTGCACCTGGCTCATCTGACCTCCTGTGACATCTGCTGTCCTCTCTATCACCAAGGCTGGGCTGGCTGATCTATCCAAAGGATGTGACTTCCTCTCTCATCCACCCATGTGAGTCTCTTTGGTCAATGACGCCCCCAAAAGGTTGGCCTTCTCAGCTTAAGGAGCAAGGTGCTTTGGTCAAGGATGTAGAAGAGTTAGTTGCCCAGGAAGAGAAGGTGAAGTATTTTTGGCCCTGTGAGTTTGCGCTTCTCATTTCTGGGCCCGGCTATATACCATGTGTCTTTTGCCTTTGTCTAAACCCTGATGGAAAGTGGCATTGATTCAGAAGAAGTATTATAAATCCAGAGGGAAACATCAGTGTCCCCCTCTTTATGACAGGAGAGCTCAGGGTGATCCCAAAGCACATGTTTTTTTTCTTTTTCTTTTTCTTTTTTGTTCTTGAACTAGGAATGAGGCAAGCATAATACAAAGTCACACATGCAGGGCACAATTTTGCAGACACCTGGTGAGACGAATATTAGACAATTCTAGGTGCTCCACTAATACCCTCATATCGCCTGCCCTCTGGCAGTTGGGCGGGGCCATGTGACAGCCTTCAGTCCTCTGATTGTGAGCCTAAGTGACATTTGCACAGGCAGTGAAAGAGCCACAGAGGCTCCTTCTTCTTCCCTACTCCCATCACCTCCTCACTTCACTTCCTCCCATCACATCACCTCCTCTTATCACTTCCTCCCATCACTTCCTCCCATCACCTCCTCCCATTGCATCACTTGCTCCCATCACTCCTCACATCATTTCCTCCCATTGTTTCCTCCCATCACTCCTCACATCACTTCCTCCCATTGCTTCCTCCCATCACTTCCTCCCATTGCATCACTTGCTCCCATCACTCCTCACATCATTTCCTCCCATTGTTTCCTCCCATCACTTCCTCCCATCACTTCCTCCCATTACTTCCTCTCATCACTTCCTCCCATCACTCCTTACATCACTTCCTCCCATCACTCCTTACATCACTTCCATTACTTCCTCCCATTACTTCCTCCCATCACTTCCTCCCATCACTTCCTCCCATCACTTCCTCCCATTACTTCCTCTCATCACTTCCTCCCATCACTCCTTACATCACTTCCATTACTTTCTCCCATCACTTCCCCCATCACTCCTTACATCACTTCCCCCCATCACTTCCTCTCATCACTTCCTCCCATCACTTCCTCTCATCACTTCCTCCCATCACTTCTTTCTATCACTTCTTCCCATCATTTCCTGGTCTAGAAATGAGGGTTGAGGAATTATAACCCACATATAAAAACACTTGTTTCTGTGACTAAAGTTTGACTGTAATACAGCCATACTGGTCGTTTCCACGCTGTTGTGGCTGCTGTTGTGTCCAGTGGCAGAGCTCAGTACTTATGACAGAGGTGGTGGTAGGGACCTCATGTTCTGCAAGGCCTCGATGTTTACTACCATGCCAGGGTCGTTTAGTCCCAGTGTGTGAGGACTGGCCCTGACGTGCCGGACTGAGACCTACACCTTGGGTCAGAGAGGAGGGGAAAGGTGACCTTATCCGTGCTGGAATGTTCCTAGTTTATCTCCAGATGGTATTGAGGGGTCAAATGTGCCCCTCAAGTCTGGGTCTGATTATAAAATTCCATTTTCTACTTTAATGGTTTTGTCTGTCTGTTGTTTGACGGAGCAGGAAAACCTGACTCAGGTCATTCTTGGGACAGCTATGGCAGTCCTGACTCAAGGAGCTATAGTTATGTTAAGCTGAGCCCGTCTCTTCTTCCCCGATAGGATTGCTAGGATACAGTGGAGTGACTGACAGCCTGGGTCTCTGAATAACTGTGCAGAAGACAGACCTTGCATTTGCCCTGGATGGTCTGTGTAAGAAAACGTAAAGATCCTGTTAGTTTTCTGATCAAAGCCATTCCTAACCTAGCCCAGTGGATTACCACGAGTACTGGAGCAAAGCATCCAGTAGCAGGAGGCCTTTGGAGAGCCCACTTACTTCCTGGAGAAGTGCACCGCACAGAAAACACCAATGATGACCAGGCCGATGACGATGGAGGCGACGGCCACCCATTTGGCATTCCGCCCCAGCCTCCTGGCTCCTTCGTAGTCTCCGTCATTGTAGCTGTTCTGAGACTGGGGGACACAAAGGAAGAGTCAGTGACAGGAAAGACGGGAGCCTTCTCAGGCTGTCTTGACGAAACAACTCTTAAGAAGCCGTTGGTGACCGTTCCCCTCAGTGTCAGGCTGCTGAGAAAACAGCACAGCTATCATCTCCCGGGAAGTCTTCCCAAGGCCCCCACACGTCCACCAGAGGACTGATTTTTGTCTCGCCCACCCACAGAGGGACTGTGTGGATGGTAATGCTAGTCTCTCATTTGCGCAGTAAGTCAGTTCCCAGAGCCACACTTGTCAAGCGGAAGAGACTGAGTACATAGCTGTAGAACGAAAGGGCATGCCTGGGTCAAGCACTGGGCAGTCACTGCCAAGTCTGACCCACAGCCTGGGGCAGCTTGCCACCTGTTTTTGCATAGCTCACTCGGATCAAAGCCACACTGATTTGTTTACTATTGCTGGTTAGGAACTTGTGCAGAGGTTGTAGCGTTGGTCCAACCCAAACTATCTGCTGTTTGATTATCTGCAGAAAACATCCAGCCATTCCCACACTAAACACTTGGGCTCAATTATTCTCCTCTATGCACAAGTCAGGGTCATCTTTTAACTGGGACCCACAGCCGTAGCTTCTCAGGCTGTTACAATGTTGCAGCAGATGAGAAATGCTATCCCGAGCCTTGGTCCTCCTTCCTTAATCCCTCAGCATCCTCCTTCCTTGTCACAGCGTAAACGAATGGCAAACACAGCGTAAACGAATGGCGAACAGAATTAGCCAGGCAAGCTTAACATAATATATTTAGCTTTAATAAGGGGAGAACTTACAAAGCCAAGGTTCCAGCGAAGAGCAGGAAACAAAAGGGACAAACAAGCGCACATGGATGGTTTTAAAGGTTCTTGGAGCCCCGGGACAACCCCCCCCCCAAACAAGGTGATTGGTTGAGATTCCCCTTCAGGTCCCTTTCTGTGTCACCCATGACTTCTCCAGGAACCCACATGGCAAGGGTTCTTCCTGAGCTCATCCTGTCAGGGATGCAGCCCAGTGGGCAGAGGGTGAGTTTAGCACATCAAAGGTCCTGGAGTTTGATTCCCCAGAAATACCTAAAGTGGGGGTGACAGAGGCACAGAGGCCTGGGGTCAGGACTTCAGGCTAGTCCTTGCCCTTGGCCAGCTCTAGGCCCACCTGGGGCTACTTGAGAAGGCACAAGATCTCAGAGGCCTGAGTTAGGATTTTACTTAAGGAGCCGTGATAGGTACAGAAAGTAACTAATCTTTCAAAGTTGCCTTATACTTGTCTGTGAATTGGGGGCATCGGGAGCAGCAGCATCGCACAGAAGATTCCGTGAACTAACGTGCAAAATGATCAGCACTGACTTTGTACGCTCAACACACGTTGGCTTTTACTATGAACTGGCTACTCCTCCCGCCTCATTCGTATTTTAAGCCTTTGGATGGATAGGGGTGTGCCAGGCTCATCGCCACCTCTGATGCCTCCACGATCACGAGGACCCAAGTTCAGGCAGTGTTTTAGATGGCGTCACAGTCCAAGTCCCTGAACATTAGGGATTCAAATTCAGACCTTATAATCTAGCTTAGAGTGACGGCGGTTCAGACTGCCCACCCTGACAAAGCATCGTTCTTCTGAGTGTCCTCAGAAAACACAGTTCACAGATCAGACGGGGTCATGATCTGAGTAAGACAAGGAAAAGTAACGGGAGCTCGAACAATGTTAACCTTGACCGTCAGACAAGAAAACAATCTTATGTTCTCCAGCAGCAGTGACCACAATAAGTAGGAAGACGGCCAGGCTGGGGCATCCCGAAGGGCACACCTATCATGAGGGCATTGCCGGTGGGCTCGGGTGAGAGGTGGGGGGCTCTGGGCTGTTTGGCTCGTTTGGTGCAGGTCAGCGAAGTCATACTGATCACTCCTCCTTGGGTACCACCCTATCTCCAAGACTCATGAGAGAATCTGAACGAGGGTGCTGTTGACTTGAAACAGTTGAAAAGCCTCTTCCAGAGCCGAGGAGGATTGTCCTCTATCTATATAGGACTCCCACTCTGAATTTGTCCCCCCCCCCCTCTGGCTCTCCCTGGTTAATCTGCTGGGTGAGAATGTAAAGATACATGGGAAGGATCAAGGCAGGAGACTATAGAATGCCAAGATTCCAGTCTAAGGGTCTTGTGTTATGGTAGGGGGATCAGCTTGAGGGTTGACTCCAGAGTTACTTTGTTCCTCGCTGTGACAAAACGCCCAATGGAAGCAGCATAAAGGAGGAAGGTTTACTTTGGTACATGGCTTCAGAAGTTCCAGGGCAATGTGGCGGGGAAGCATGGTGGTGGGGGCTGCTCTGTCCGTGGTGGCAGGAGGATGAGGCGGTGACTAGTTCACATTATGGCAAAGACCAGAAACAGAGAGAAGTGATCCTGATGCCCTACCTCTGCCAGCTAGGCCCCTCACCTAAAAGTTTCCACAGCCTCCTCAGGCAGCAGTGCCAGCTGGGAACAGAGTGCCGGAACACGTGAGCCTGTGGTGGACACGACACAGTGGAGAGCTAGCAACAGAGGGGGGATCCTCCAGCCCTGCCCCGCACTGGGGGTGTAGCTCAGGGTCTCAGATGCTCTGGACAGAGCTCTCTGCCCTAGCTGCAATGGCTCTCCTCTTCCTCCACTTAGAGTCCATCCTAAGGGTCCCTTGGCAGATAACACAGACTGAAGGTGTGGAAATGGGCTTAGAGAAAATCCATATGCTTCATAAATTTTTTTTTTAGCTCAGAATGCAAACTGTGCCATCTGGTACAAAAGGATGAGAGGATTGTGGATGGCTTTAGATATCCAAAATGTCGATGATCTTGTCAGAGTGGGTTCTTTCCTTGACATGTGGACCTGCGGGTTGAACGCAGGTCCACAGGTCGTCAGGCTTGGTGGCAAAGGCTTTTACCTGCTGAGCTGCCTCGCTGGCTCAGTTTATATGATCTTACTCATTCGTCTGAAAATTATGAATGCAATTTGGATGCATGCCAATCATTTAAACACTCCAGAAACAAACAGGACACAATACTTCATTTAATCGTATTTCTCAGTGTTAAGCGGCTTGGTCTGTCTTTTAGATGTCACATCTACAAATCCTAGGAAAATAATTCTGACAGGTTAGGAGAAAGAAATCCACACCCCAAGATAAAGCCACAGTAACAAGTCTGTGTGTCTAATCCTGGTCCCTCACATCTGAATGCCTTATATACTTCCTACAAATCTATGCAAAGACAGCTTCATCCTCCCTCTGGCGGTCACAGGCTGCAGAGGAATGCCTTGTTCTGACTAGGAACAGACGATTGTAAATCCTGGTAGACTTAGCGGATCCGCCATCTGTCATCCATGTTTCCTTCAAACACTCGCTTGTGCTTTTCATTGGCTGGCTGGACCTTCTGAAATGGAACTTCCTTGCATTTCTTTCTAAGTAAGTTCCCTCTTTCTATCCTTCTCTCCTCTCCCTTTTCCCCTTCCCTTGTCTTCCCCCTTTTCTGTATGTTTTGGCTTCTGCTATAGTTCAGTTCTGGAAGGTTCCCCAATGGGCCATGTACTGCAGGCTTGGTGTTGGAACCTTCAAGAGGTGGGGCTGGGAGACTGTAGGTCACTGAGGGTGTGTCCTTGAAGGGACCTGTAGGATTCTGGTTTATTTTCTCCAACTTCTCCACCCCCCCTTTTCCCCAGATTTAGTGATGGGAGTCACTTCCCCTACCTTGTGTAGTTGACTCTTCACAGACTCAGAAGTCACAGACCGACAGACAGCGCACAGAAACCTCTAGAACTATGAGCCAACGTCAACCCTTTCTCCTTGTGAGCTGATTGGAGGTATTTATTTGCAGTAACAGGAAGCCAGCTGGCACAGCTTCTGGCTTTTCCTGTGACAAAACAGCGCCGTAACAGACAACATTTGTGGAGCGTAGCTTCACGCCTGACATCGCGCTAGATGCTCTCCAGGGCTGTCTAGTTTCCTCAGCTCTCTGAGCGAGGAGTTCGTCACTGCTGTTTTACTGATGGGAAAGCTGAGGCTCAAGGTTAAGCCAATCACAAAAACTTGCCGGTTTATTTGTGTGTGTGTGTGTGTGTGTGTGTGTGTGTGTGTGTGTGTGTGACTCCAAGCTGATGCTTCTAGCTCTGGCATAATTCTGTGTTCTGTTTCCATTCATAATTCAAGAGACTGAGTCGTAGTGACAGACTTCCCCCTCTTAATGTTGCGCCATCATTGTGCTCTTGGGGAAAAGCTGTGCATTTATTATGAGGGCTTCCTGTGTTGCCCAGGCTGGCCTTGAACTCACTCACGACACTCCCAGCTCTGTCTCCTGAGGCCTGGATTAAAGGGATTAAAGGTGTCTACCCTAATGCCTGACCACCTGGCATTTATATTTATTTATTTATTTCATATGTATATGTATATAGATAGGGGGTTGTGCATTTGCATGCATGCTCACATGTGCATGTGCGTGTGTGTGTGTGTGTGTGTGTGTGTGTGTTTGTGCGCACATGGGGGGCAGAACACAATTTCAAGAGTTATTCCTCAGGTGCTTGCCTTTTTATTAATACTGGGTCTTTTGCTGGCCTGGAGCTAACCAAGTAGGCCAGGCTAGTTGGGCAGAGAGCTCCAGGGATCTTGTCTCTGCCTCCATGTCCATTATTTTTAGATTGATACTCAGGGAACTTGAACATGGCATGGGATTTCCTTCTAAGCTATATATTTTTATCATTTCACACATGAATAACTCTTAGCTCAAGGTCTGCAAAGTGGTAGCCAACAAACAAACTACTTGAAGCCAAGCAGCCAATGGCGCCTCATTCATCTCACAAAATATGCCAGAGGAGAGGTCGTTAGTGTCCCTTCTGAATTTGCTTCCCTCTGGGGGGCTGATGCACCTTGGCACACAGCCCAAGGCATCCTCCGGGTAGTCTAATGGCATCATGGCCACTGCATATAGTCACTCTTAGCTTATTTACACCCACCTTCCATGGGTAGACACATGATCCTCA